GTCATACATACATACATTATATATCAGGTAATGTATCAATAAACATGGTGGACTGTTTTATTTAATTCAAATATTGTTTGCAATTTACTATAGGCCTACTGCTGGGTTAAATTAACCAAAAAATGGGTTTTAAAATTAAAATCACACACAATATGACAACAGTAACAACACATTTATTACACCAGTTCAGAAAAAAAGCAAAGCAACTCCATACTTATACAGATTATACAGTTAAACCAAATTATTTTGAAAAGCTTGTTTAAGGATATATTTTGTTCAATTTGTTCATGTTTTTCACCCACTGACTTAATGACTAATTGATTAACTAGTAATGACTAGTTAAACTATTATGGCCAAACCATCGCCAATAAACACACAGTAATAAACACTGAAAGTCAAGATTAAACTGTGTATTATAGCGAACTGACAGGATTTTACTGTCTTTGATTTACCGTTTTGTTCCACGTCCTCAAGCACCATTTTGACTAACATTTTTCAGTTCCCGGTTTTACCGCTCATCAGTCGCTTCTCAATGTTGTGAGAACATACTCGGACAAAACCCTCCAGTTTTAAAAGAACACATTCCAGTCAGTTTCAAAAATCTCTCTCCTCTTCGTGTCGATTAGTTTTCTTGTATTTTCTACACATATTCCTGTCATGAGCGCCGCAAACATGGATAGACTCGTCTCATGCGCCATTCCAGCTGTTTCCAGTTCGCGCTCACCACACACTGCTGCAGTTTTAAAGGAACACACTCCAGACAGTTTCAAAGTTGTCCCTTGTCTGCGCTTCGATTCGTTTTCTCCTATTTTCCACACATGTTCCCGTCTTAAGCACCGCAGTCACGGATTTCGTCGCACACAGAGCCGTTCACGTTTGAACTCACGTGACTTACTGCATGCTCTCATTCACGTCCTCCACATTCATAACCCAGCAATGTTGGGTTGCTTATTACTGATATCAACCCAAATTGGGTCAAATAAAGCCAGCTTCCTAACCCAACAGTCTCAACCGAGCGTTTGGATTAAAACAATTACCAGCGTGTTTTATATGTACAGGCTATAAAAAAGTACACAGTGTATGTTTTTGCTTTATCGCTTGCAAATATAAGATTGTTAGGTCATACATACCCCGTAATATTAGAATAGGTACCCTTAGTTTCAAAATACTTACAGTAGAAATAATTTGTAATTTTACAGATTATTACTCCTTTATTCCCCAAACTTCGCATATTGTTACCTTATACCTACACGGAGGTACTGAATAGGTACACTGTAATTACAAAAAAGCTACGCTGTAAATTCTGTTTACTTACGCAGTACATTGCGGGTTGTAATCTAAAGCGTTACCAATGATTACAGACACTTCCCGAACTGAAGGCTGGTTCACCAGCTTTCCTTGAAGAAGCAAGAGCGCTAATTGCTACATTTAGCACACGCCACAGTGGCCTCTGAGTGGGAGGGTACTGTGATAACCTAATAAGAACGGCACAGTGTTTTGACAGATTATGACATACGTAAGTGCTCTTTGGGATGGTGCCAACACAAGGGCCCATCCTAAAAAGAGCTCTCTAGTGAGTGCTGCTGATTGTACTGAAATAGAGTAAAGAGCGTCTCTCAGAAAGATAAGGCATGACATCCGTTAACTTCATTTAATGGCATTCACTCTCATTAAGGATAAGATACATGGCTTCGTCGTGATGATGAGTGCGAATTTGCTCAAAATTTGTCTCTTTTTCTCGGGGATGGCCCTGCTGGCCTTCGTAACAGACCACTTATCCTACTTTAAGCAACAAGGATGATTTGGCAAAATTATAAAATGCATATTTTGTAAGGTTAAATATTAGATTAGACTATTAGATATACAAATAGCCTAATATTTATTAGATATTAGATTAGACTAAAGAATGTGTTTTTGTTTTTTCGCTTTAGGCTTTTGCATTGTTTTTCTATGTACTGTAAACATTCACTAGACAGATGTGTCTGACTGTTGTACATGTGTTTTTTTGAAGCGTTTTGCATGACGCGGCATTTAAAGCTGAATTTTCAGCAGCCATTACTCCAGTCGTCGGTGTTACATGATCCTTCAGAAATCATTTAATGTGCTGATTTGTTGGTTATCAAAGTTAGAAACCATTGTGCTGCTTTATATTTTTGTGAAAACCGAACAAAATAAAACAAAATGGAATTAAAAAAACTAGCTTCACTCAAAAATCATGTCTCTAGACCATGCGTTTTTGTTTTTGTCATCATTCCTCTGTCTTTTTTGCGTTTTAAATGGAAAAAGGCATTCTATGTGAATGGCCCCTAAAAATAGTCGCGGGGCCCAGGGCCATAGTGGTCAAGTCTCACTGTATATGGAGCCACGGGACCCTAATGGCCATCTGGTCCATAATTCAGCCTTACTTTCCCACCGGTTCCTTATTGAAACTTGAGAATTTTGTGGGGCAGGAAGGTGTGAGTCTGTGGGATAGATGTCATTTTGTCCTCTAAACACTATGTAGCATTTTATCTGTATTGATTTAGAGTTTAGAGGTGGACTTCCTGGCTGGCAGTGTTGTCTGTCTACAGCCAGGATCTCTCTTGGGACTCAGGCCAACACTCATCGACCCATTTAGAATAGTTTGCGCCATAGACTCGTGTTTTAGCCACTAGGTAGAGAGCATTAAACGAAGTGAAGTGCTTTCATGGCTAGAGAGGGGAAATTAGTCTCATGTGGTAATGGATGGGATGACTAGAGTGTTTTTAGGGATAATGAGGGCGGGTCCTCGTGTAGCACAGCTGTATGTTTTGTTTGACACTGCTGATGATGTAAATGCCCTGTGAAGTGAAGTGGCTTTGCTTTATTTTAGCAGTTTAGTGTTGTCGTGGGCTCACAGGAGTCGGGGGCTGGCTTTGATTGTTTATATATAGCTACTGTATGCATTAAATGTCTCCGAAGCAACTGAGATCTCGCCTCCTACACGACACGTGCAAAAAAAAGAGCGCTGAGCGCCACAGAGCAGTGATGACAACATGCAATCTCCAAAGCAGAGAACGCTACCTAATTTCATTACGCTCCCTCTCTCCTGCAAAACCACAAGCTGTTTTCATCAGTGCTGGGATTATTTATAGACCGTAGGTGCGATCTTGTATATTCCAAAGGCCTCCACCGATACTTATATGCCTGCGTAACCAGAGAGGAACGAGAACAGATGTTCCCATCACAAGTGAAAGGACCATTTCTGTGGCTGTACAACAATATAAATAGACATGGAATAAATAAATTTGGCCTGTGTTTTGTGCACATTGGATGCTTAATGCATTTAGTAATGTGATCAGTAGACGTAGGTGTGTGTTTACACCTGTTATGATTAACAGTTTGGTTAGAATGTGATACTACAATGCTTGAAAAAGCTGTAAAATAACCAGATCAAGTCTAATGGTGGATTGAAATAAAATTAACATTGTGCTTTCAAACTGACTGTGAATCAGAGTTGATTTCTGGTTTACTATTGAGTAGTATTGATTATTGAGTGGTTTCATTAATGTGGACTTTGAAACACACTACCGTTCGAAAGTTTGTAATAAGATTTTTTTGGAATGACGTCTCTTATGCTTACCAAGGCTGCATTTATCTGATCAAGAATACAGTAAAAACAGTAATATTTTAAAAGTATTATATACATTTTGAAATGTAATTTATTTTTGTGAAAAATGATTTCTGGAGTAATGGCTGCTGAAAATTCAGCTTTACCATCACAGGAAATAAAATTGTAAAAAATATTAGTATTAATAAAATATATTGTAATAATATTTCACAATATTACTTCATTTATTTATTACAAATAAATGAAGTCTTATGTTGCGCATAAGAGATGTCTTTTAAAAACATTTTAAAAATCTTAATTATTCCAAACATTTGACCGGTAGTGCATTCAATGATTATTATCAGGAACGAGCTATTGAGAATTATTAAACCTAAATGGATATTACAAAAATGGTGTTGATAAATGTGCAAATGGTGTTCATAGATGTACAAAACATTGTGTTTGAATTCTTTTCATTTTCTGCTGAATTCTGCACACTATACGCAGCAAAAATGTAAAAAAATGATAGTGATTTTAACAGTAAAAGACTGAAAGAATGAATGAATAAAAGACTGTAAAAATGCTACAGTAAAAACCTGTTAATTGGTTATCAGTAAGTTTCCATACTATATACTGTGAATAACTGTCACATCATTTAATGTAATTTTACAGTAAAATACTGTTAAAATTTACGGGTTTTGGAAGTGAAAAAGAAAAAGTAATTGTATAATTTACAGTGAAAAACCGTAAATTGACACTCCCAGAATTCCCTGCATGACACTTCATATTTTGTTTTTTTGTTGAAATAACTTTCTTAGATTTTTCTTATCAGTTGTGTACATTAGGGTTTTATTGTGCATCTAATGTTGTTTAATTAATGTTTATTGCATTGTTTCAGTATCATGTGTGCTACCATGATGGTGTTTAGTGTTTGTGTGACTGACACTGTGCACCTTCTATCTATCTGTCTATCTATCTATCTATCTATATATTATTTCCCTTCTCAGCTTGTGGAAGAGCTGTTTGTGATGAGCTTTGATACATCATGTGACTTTCTTATCACCACCCGTTTTTGGTGATTATCAGTATTACAATGGTTTAAAAAAAACAGATAATAGTACTTCAATATGCTATTTTTTTAACATGACATCAGTTAATGAAATACGTTTTTTTTTATTGTGAATTTAAGTTAAGTCTGTAAAACCTAAAATGTTGCTACCATATTTTTAATGGTGAAGTTCTGGCAACCACAGCTGCCGGTATTTTACTGTAAATGTCACAGATTTTTTTTTTTCTTCTGCTGTGCTGCTTTTCTGGGCTATGTTAATTCTATATATTGTCAATATGGGCATTGAAGTTAAAGTGAAGCAAGCCAAGACTGTAGATACAGTCCAAACTAACAAGACACACTCTTTCTTCTCTCTTCCTGTAGATTGAGGACATTATCACACGCCTCCGAGATGAAACTGAAGGTGTGCCTGTCAGAACGGTCAAGAGCTTCCTGTCCAAGATTCCCAGCGTTGTTACAGGTATACTGGCAGGAGTGGGACAGTTTGCGTCTAAACTGGTGTGTGATTTAATAAACCTTAAGTATGTGGGTTTTTCAATGGCCGTTGCTATCATACAGTATGTGTGAAAATACAGTTTACTCAAGTCAATGTAAATAAACAAATGCATTCACATGAAATATTGATTTTAAATTATTTTATTAGCTTAATTGCTTAAATTGTAGAAAATCAGTCTAGCAACAAGATGAATACTGCAACAATTGTCTGTTTGTTTGTTTGTGTGTTTGTTTGTTTACATATATCTATATTTATTTATTTATGAAATTCAAGTTATTTATTTTATTGGCCAGTAATATTTGGTTTTCACATCCGGCTGTTTGTGTCTCTTTTCAGCCCTTTTTTTAGATGAATGTTTTTCTCTTATTATTAGCAGGCAGACATGATTAATTTATTCTGTAAGCTAAAGTGTTTCATAATAGGTTCACAGTAGTCTTCATCAGATGTGAATGTATTTGATTTTAAAAAAATAATAAATTATTATTAAAAAATTATTATTCATTACAGTTGAAGTAAAACTTTTGAATGAGGAAAAAGTTACTGAGTGCACATTTTTAAAATAGCAGTTTTCTTATTTTACTTAATGATGCTTTCAAAAATATGTTCTTAAAAATGTATATCACTGTCAGTGCTGATACAATATGTACAGGGTTGTGCTTAGTTGCTATTTTCCAGGGAATTTCATAGATCAGCGGGTGGATCAGGAGCCATACGCCCCTGTGGTCTCCACCGATCCTACTAACCACTTTCACAGATTCACAGATTCCTTTAGTGTGTGATAAGGAATGCTAGAAGAACAGTTACTTGTCCTTATAAACCCTCAAAGAGAATAAACCTGAAGATATCGCATCGCTTGATTTGCACATAATGCTAAACACAATTACTACAGTGAGCAGCTCTAAATGGATGCCTGCAGGCCCACATCCGGATAACTAATAGCTGATTTGGAACTAAAACATTGATGTTGTACGTGATTGAAGTGGTGCTAATGTAGATTTAGCTTGACTGATCTGACACACATTGAATCTTGAACCATAACGTGTCTTGACACACTGATGATTTTGAACTTTATCAAGGCTTTGGGAAGTGAATGTAATTTATGCATAAATTTGCATGTGAAAATAAGGTGATATGTTTCCACGTTTTAAACTTTAGGTTCTGACATTGTTCAGTGGATGATGAAGAACCTCATCATAGATGATCCTGGTAGGTGTTGATATGAAGAAATATACACGTCTTATTGATGAATGTAAATTGTTTGTGAAAGCAAATGCATTAATTTCTGTATTTACAGCGGAGGCCATACACATCGGCAGCCTGATCGCCGCCCAAGGCTACATATTCCCCATCTCTGATCATGTTCTTACCCTCAAGGATGATGGAACGTTATACCGCTTTCAGGTGAGCTTATCCATCTACCATCAACCAAATAAAAGTCACGTGGATTGTATCCTGGCAGCTGTGGTTTCCAGGATGTGGTCCTGTTTCACTTCAGCACTGCTGAGATTCTGAATCTACTGTGGAAATCACACCTAAGACACACTATGAAGAAGCGCCACAGACCTTTACACCTACTGAGCAAATAGGACAGTGTTTGATCAGTGCAGAGGCCTTTATTAAGCCCTTCTCTATACAGGCAGTACATTACTGAGATTTATTTCACATACCGTACTATATATACACAACCTGAAAGAAATTAGTACTTTTATTCAGCAAGGATGTATTGTGCATTAAATGGATCAGTATTACAGTATAGTGTTACAAAAATTTCTATTTCAAATAAATTCTGTTCTTTTGATCTTAAAAAATGTTTCACGGTTTATACAAAAATATGATGCAGCACAACTGTTTTCAACATAGAAATAATAAGAAATGTTTCTTGAGCAGCAAATCAATATTAGAATGATTTCTGAAGGATCATGTGACAAAAAAAAAAATCAGCTTTGCCATCACAGTAATATTGATTATATTATATTGAATATATTTTAAAATTATATTTTAAAATATATTCAATTGGAAAACAGTTCTTTTAAATTGTAATAATATTTTGCAATATTACTGTTTATACTGTGTTTTTTGATCAAATAAATGCAACCATTGAGAGACTTCTTTAAAAAACATTTAAAAATCATATCAACCTCAGACTTTTGAACAGTAGTGTGATGTTTATTGTCTATTGCTGTACTTTTAAGATCTAAGGTGTTAAATAATATTTTATCTCAGTATGTCCTCCAGAAATAGGGGCATATTTATCTGGTAAAGGCCGATCCTTAATTTTTTAGTGATTTAGATGATTAGTGAGGAGATGACCAAAGGCATGTCTTTCTCTGAGCCTCTTTAGCTCACGTAACTCTGATGTTTCTCAGGAGAAGCACTGCTGGCTAAAGCTGTGAGAAGCTCTGTCATCTCATTTGGAAATTATTGCAACACTAAACAGATTCTCTTCAGCCAAAGATCTCTATAATACCTGGAGAAAGCTATCAATTTGCATTCCCGTTCATCTCAATGGCAGTAGCTCAGCTGGAGCTTGACAGTGAGATTTGAAATCTGCCAACTTTACTCATAGGCACTCAATGACACTGATCCACCATGTTTACCATGTCAATCTGGAATTCGTCTTTAAAGAGCCCTCCAAAAAATCAGTCACATGCAATCATCTACTAAAATACAATGAAATGAGGGTGCATGTGTAATGGTTATGCATCAATGCTCCATTACAGTACTAAAGTATCATGTTTAATTAATATAGTCTCACTATCAACCTCCAAACCAACTAATTTATCCAGAGTTTTACGAGAAAAGCCAAATTCTCAGATAATGGCATTAGGCTATCTTTCCAATAAGCATGATAGAAAGTATAATGTTTAATTAATATAGTCTCAATATCAACCTCCAAACCAACTGTAATTTATCCAGAGTTTTACGAGAAAAGCCAAATTCTCAGATAATGGCATTAGGCTATCTTTCCAATAAGCATGATAGAGTATCAATAAGCCAATGAATGAATCTGAGCTTCTTTTGTACATTCATTAATTACTCAGGAGGGAATTAGTGTTTCTGTTTCTCTGGAGTATGGCTCATCAGCTCATTGCCTGACAATAATGATCTCAATGCACCATCATTTGCTTTGTGCCGCCTGTAGTCTTTTAGACTGGCTCCACAAAGGCAAGAGAGTTAGTTGTTACAAATGTTGTTAATAGCTCTTATAACATGAATATCTTCATATAATAACTGCACGGCACAGAATCATAATTTCAGCTACAGCTTTGGCTAGTAAGCAGGAGGCAGACAAGAAATTCTTAGTTCTTTCAAACTCACACCTGATTTTAAACAGAATCCATATAAATTAGTGAAGTAGTTACTGACAACCCAGAAGCAATCACTGTATCTAAATATGCAGATATTGTCTAGATTAGCAGTTCTCAACATTTTTGACTCGAAGGTCCCCCGCTGTCCAACACTGCTTTTAGTATGACAGCGTTGCTTGATTTCAAACATTTTTATTAACAGAAACTGTATATTAAGTTAATTAACCATTATTCATTTTGTGATACCAGAATACTTAAGATTCCGAATATTCTGAATTTTCAGAATATTTATAACATTTAAGATACTCTGTATGTTCTTAAATAAAAACATTTATTGAGGGAAATAAGGATATTATTATTATTGTTATTATTATTATTATGCACCAATATTAAAATTCTAGCCAAAGCAATAAGCCGATATGTATTTTCATGTTAATACAGATTTTGTCTAAATAGGAAAAAAAAAAAAATCATTTTAAATGATACAAGTAAATTTAGACATCATAACATTTTTTATAGTATACAAAGGAATTTCATTGTGATATGTGCTAAATATTACATTTAATAGTGTTATTCAATTATTAGTGTTTTTACAGAAATGAGAAATGAGCAGCATGACTGAATGTATTTTGGCTAGATTAAGTTTATGTTCATACTCCAAAGTCTGCCTACTCAATTTTTCAATTGCACAAATGTACAAAACTCAATTAATACAGATTTTGTCTAAATAGGGAAAAAAAAAAAATCATTTTAAATGATACAAGTAAATTTAGACATCATAAAATTTTTTATAGTATACAAAGGAATTTCATTGTGATATGTGCTAAATATTACATTTAATAGTGTTATTCAATTATTAGTGTTTTTACAGAAATGAGAAATGAGCAGCATGACTGAATGTATTTTGGCTAGATTAAGTTTATGTTCATACTCCAAAGTCTGCCTACTCAATTTTTCAATTGCACAAATGTACAAAACTCAAGAGTAATAATCTCTCTCCTTCTCACCCAGGCTCCATACTTTTGGCCCTCTAATTGCTGGGAGCCAGAGAACACAGACTACGGTAAGAGAAGGACCCTGCTGGGCAGACTCAAAGTGACGTAAGAGCACACAGAGCTTTACCGTAGATGCTTTTTCAGAGAGCTAACATAACTCATAAGGTCCCAGAGACGCAGGACGCCCCATGTTCAGCCCACAATCTGCTTTCCCAGGATTATTACAGGTTGGACAGGTGAACAGTCAGGGAGAACTGCAGAGCATTAGTGTGTGTATGACAGTGTGTTGACTGTGGGCAGATGTTCACTCATGGTCAATGGTGACTCATTCATAGTTCCTACTTTCTGTGAACTGGCCAAGCAGAGATGATAGATGCAGAGGAAAATACTAAATCCAATCAAGGGCTTACACTGGATGTGTGAGCGTGTGTAGGGGTAGGATTATACATGACAGTTGATAAGGCCAAGTCTCTTATGGCCTCTTGTCTGTTTCTCTCTTCTCTGTCTGTCTATTTCTCTCTGTTGCCTGTCACAGCCATCTATCTGTGCAAGCGGACCATGCAGAACAAGACCCGGCTGGAGCTGGCGGACTATGAGGCGGTAAGTGACCCACTGCGATGACAGCCGACAGAGAAAATGGAAGCAAAAGTGTTTTGCCAGCAAAAGCATCTCAGTTTGGATTCTCACAGGTATTGACAGATACGTCAAGTTATTTTATACCTGAAAACACCAATTGTGAGCCCTTGTCATTGAGAATTAAAGGTGAAGTATGCCATTTTTTCCGATGATACTTTCTCTTGTCCTTGCTGTATGTGCAGAGGTAACGATAAATAAGCCATTTGTAGATTGATTCCCCCAAAGAGTGTAAACTCTGTGGCGCTATCAACATTGTTTTTTTTTTTTTAAGTGGCCCAAACAAGGACCTCTGTAATACCTGCTTCCATCTTTGCACATGGACATTCAGTTCTGAACTTTTTGTTGTTGTTGTTGTTGTTGTGGAAAATGGCATCATGACTTGCAGATGGACTGAAGTGACACACACAGTCACTTCACTTGGCCCTTCACTAGTGACTATCCTGAGCTGTGACGTCAAAGTCAGCATGCTTTATGCTTTTCAAAAATATTGGTCACTTGCAAAACTGCTGTTATGCTATAAAGAAAAAAATCAATTACTATTTATAATTTATTTATATATAAAAGAAAGAAAACAAATAAGAAATTTCAAAAGAAAATATACATTTCTATATATTTTATATGCAGAAGGTTGGTTAGATTTTAAATGTTCTCATGTGCTCACCAAGGCTGCAATTAATTGATCAAAGTTACAGTTAAAAAACATAATATTATGAATTATCATTACAATTTAAAATAACAGTTTTCTATTTCAGTTCTTTTAGTTTTCTTTCTTTCTTTCACTCATTTATCTCTGTCTCTCTCATTCAGGAGAATCTAGCGAGACTACAGAGGGCTTTTGCCAGGAAGTGGGAGTTCATCTTCATGCAGGCTGAGGCACAGGTCAAGTAAGTGCTGTTGTCAGGACAACTACGCAAACACTTGCTCTCACTCATACCTGCTCTCTTCTCTGTTGAAGAGACATCTACCCTTTGCTTTCAGCCCACACACATTCACACAAAGACATACTGTATATACACAAACTCTGATGTAACATAATAATATTGCTGAAGTGCAGTTGTTAGGGGCGAGACATATTAGCATGTGTGTTTGATTTAGAGTGGTCCACACTGATTGAAGCAGTCTCTCGCTCTTCAAACATCAGCTGAAGAGCCTCATCTGATGGCCGAGGGCTGCAAACACAAGTCAACCCTGCTCTGATTTTTGATCATCAGTCTGTCTCTATCATCACACTGTCTGCAGTACACTTTTCATGACGAAAACCCCAGTTTTGGGGAGAGCAAGAACAGAAGAGCAAGAGAGATGAATGAAAGAGTCTCAGGGCTCAAAACCAGGATAAGTGAGAGACAGAGAGTGATGCAGCAAATGTCAGTTACGTAAGAGTGAAGTGGCAGGAATGGAAATGAATTAGCTCTGCTCGCAGGCAGGTTGCAACTTTGATGAGCACAAGGGCTTTGCTCTTTGTCTGTTTTAACGTGTGAGGCAGGACGTGTGAGTGTGTGGATTGGGAAGGTTTCCTGCTCTTTGTTTAATATTAATGTCTTTGTGTTTCTTTGATTTTGTAGGATCGACAGGAAAAAAGACAAAACGGAGAGAAAGATTCTGGATAGTCAAGAGAGAGCCTTCTGGGATGTTCACCGTCCCGTGGTGTGTGAGGGTTGGATCCAGTGTGGGACGGGTTTCTGTGTTTGCATCTTGTTTGAATTTAATAGATCAAATAGGCACACTGTAAAAATTGAATACTTAAAACACCATTGTAGTTCCTCAGATTACCACTTGAGGAGAATCACAAGGCCTCTTTTAAAAAGGCCAGTTCTTGCTAATTGGAACCCAGAAGTTCCTTCAAACTCTAAAGACTGGTGATAGTTCCTTCAGTAACTAAAATGAAACTCCTTTGGTCACTTAAAATACATATTAGAGTTCCTTGAGTACATAACAGGATACTTGAGGCACCTTTAAAAGACTGTATAAATATACAATTCAATCAAAAAATGAAAATTCTCTCATTTACTCACGTTGTACAAAACCTGTTTGACTTTCTGACTTCTGTGGAACACAAATGAGAAGATATTTTGAGAAATGTCTCAGTGCTTTTTGCCCATACAATAGAAGTCAATGGTAACAAAAACGGTTTGGTAACTAACATTGTTCAAAATATCTTCTTTCATATTTCACAGAAGAAAGTAAGTCATACAGGTGTGGAACGACATGAGGGTGAGAAAATGATGACAGATTTTAAATTATTGGGTGAACAATCCCTTTATCCCTTTTTCATTTTAGCTATTCCAATAACTGTATAATGAATAGAACCCTATTGTAAAGTTTTAGTAGATATTTAACTGTGATTAATCTCAGTTTTTCATAGTAAACACAGCATAGTTAACACATTCAGTTTCTTTTTAAAGAAAGAAAATGAAATAATATATGTAATTATTGGATTCTGCAATTTGTGTGAATCATGATTGTATCAGCAATTTGTATCAGCGTATCAGCAATTTTTTTTATATGGCTGATTTACATGTGATTGTGATTCACAGCCTGGGTGTGTCAACACCACAGAGATGGACATCAGGAAGTGCCGTCGCCTGAAGAATCCTCAAAGGGTGAAAAAGGTGCTTATACTGTATTAGTGTGTGTGCTTTGTGTACAGAGGGTGTGTCTGATTGTATTGTGACCCATCTCCGTCTCGCAGTCAGTGTATGGGGTAGTGGATGACACACAGACTCAGAGTCCTGTACACACACCCTCCCAGCAGAGCAGCAAGGACACCAGAGAGGACGTAGAGAAATAGGTGTGTGCGAGCGATGCTGTTAATTTGATTCTTCCCATATCACTATATGGAATGCAAAAACTTCGAACCTCAATATCTCGAAACTGCTCAGAATGCAGATAGAAGCTTATCATTCCAAGGTGATGATTTATTGCAATCGAGTAACTGGCAGTAACTATAAAGATTAAACAACAGTATGAAAACTAAAATTGTGTCAACATATTTAAAATGCTACAGACAAAACTAATTATGTGTATCTTTAAATACAAGATGCCATGTAGTATAAATTTCACTTCACAACAAACAGTTAAATTATAAGCTGTATGTGTTTGATTCATTTAAAATAACTCACTTATTAAAGCTATTCATTTGGGAATCAGACTACACTTGTTGCGCTGTTTGTTTTTGATAAACTAAACAAAATCAGGCTCATAAGAGTCATTGATTCGGGAACTGAATCACAGTAAGTTTCATGCTATAGATTCAGTGGCAGGTTTGCGGTGCCACTGAATTAGTTGTGTGGGAAACTCTGTCATTTTTAGTATTATGACATAGTATTTTAGTACAGTGTACCATTCATTCACTTTTGCGGAGGAATGCATATGTGAAAACAGTTCATTTGGTTTCAATAATGAAAAACAGACAAAAATACTTTTATACAATAATGTGAAATATAAACATGATTTCAACTCATTTTTTGCAGATTGATGAGCTACACAGAGCAGTATCTTGACTATGACCCCTTTGTGACAGTACCAGAGCCCGCTAACCCCTGGATCAGTGATGATGTCACATTCTGGGAGCTAGAGGCCAGGTATGAAAACCTAAATATTACATCTTTCTTTATGGATTCCTCTTTTCTGTAGTCTAGTTTTCATTAGATGAAAGGGAGAAGGGATCGGGATGTCTAAATTTCTTAATTTCACTTAATATCTTAAGAGTCTTTGTAACTGCTGCTGAGGAAATTAAGTTGCTAATTTGTCAAAAAAGTTCTTATCTGTTTTGTTGTTATGCTTCTTTTTGGTTTTATGTAGAAAAAATCTTATGTCACTGTTATGTTGTGCTTTTGTTCTTACTCGATTTATTCTCAAACTGGGGTCAATCCTAAAATAACACTGAGGTCCGCAGACAATTATTACACATTTATAAAATAAGTACTGTTCATTGTTGGATCATGATAACATGTTAACTAGCCTTATTGTAAAGTGTTTGAATTAGTTAATTTAGCTTACAAACTCTCTTTTTTGGCTAATGTGATCCCAAATTTTTACGCCGGTTTCACACATACTGCGTGAGCGAGGTGTTTTCATTTCGATGAATGGGACGAAATCTGGGATGCGACACCACACAGCCCAAGCTCCCATTGTGAATGCTGTAATCTGTTAATATGAACGCATTTGATTTGTGAATCTGGCATTTTGCTTGCTGAAAGCAATGACTGAAAAGTAGTTTGACAAATAGCATGCAGGCATTGTACTGTACATAATCGACCCAGTGTGGCGTGCGAGAATGTGGGATCTACAGAGAACGGTCAAAGCACTGCAAATACATGTACATATAATGTGTGAGGACTCTAAAGCATGTCAATAGGAAAACAAAGCCAAAACCTGGACATTTTAAACTATTTAGAAATCCCAGCCAGGATGTGTTTAGGAAACTAGAAAGCTAGAAAAACTCTAGTTGAGAACACAGGACAGTGAACTTGAGAGTGTGAGGAGACTGATTTGATGACATTATTCGCAGGGCAAGTGTCATGTCTCCATAGTAACAGTGTCTACTCTGATTGGTGGACCTCTCTTTAGGATTGTGACTAATGTTGTACCTGGTTCTGAATATCTCAAGTAGTTTTAAGTCTGCTGAAGTCCTTATGTTGTTTTGAATTCTATAAAACACTGCAGGTTCCTTCAGCTCCACTTGCCTGAGCCGTTCTCACAGCTCCTCAAAGATGCCCTGACAGGAATTAAGGAATACCTCCCACACACACCCTCGTCCTAGTGTTTCATTTCTGGGTTTCTTTCTATACATCTGATCACATTGTTCAACAATGTGACTCTTGTCACTTAATTATGCAAAAATGAGGTTGACTAATTTGCCTTATCATATTAATTAACAGTTGTTGGAATTAGGTTTTTCTAAATCATTAGCATTCCTGTGGTGGTTTACATATTGTTACTTATTCAAACACTAATTTACAAGATATTATTAGACGTGATTAAGTGATCTTGTGTACACACACACAGTCTCTCTTTGTTTTCAGCCTTGTCTTGTTAATATGACAAACAATGGAACATTGTGTTGTCAAAGCATTAGCTGCTGTCAGTAGATATTGCAAAGAACAATGTAAGTTAAATAAATAAAATACTGTCTTTCTCTTTCCGTCTCTCTGTCTCAGTAAGGACCCGAGTCAACAGCGAGTAAAGAAGTGGGGCTTCTCGTTGGATGAGGCTTTAAAGGACCCAGTGGGCCGTGAGCAGTTTCTTAAATTCCTGGAGTTCGAATTCAGCTCCGAGAACCTGCTGTGAGCTTTCCATCACCATATTCCTCCGTCCTCCTTTCATTTGCACTTCTGTGACATTTTCCCCTTCCTACTCATTCCTCTCTCTTAACCTCCCACTACACTTTTAATGACTTGCACAAAATGTAGCAGAACAGGACAAGCAAAAGGTCAGACCTCAAGCTTTAATATCACTGATGAGAAAGAGCGAGTAAATTCACTGATGGTACATGATCATTACAACCTCCAAAGCCTGATCGCTGATGCAATGTGATAAGCTACTGCAAACCACGGGCATCATGGGGCAAATGAGGCAGCGGTGGGCTCCAGGAGACGCCCAACCAGGACAGCGAGGCCCCGAAGGGAGCTGCAGAGATAACACAGGTCACTGGAGCCGTAAAGTGACTGGGCAAGAGATAAAATGCTGCTTGTCTCAATGCATCTCTCATCCTTCTCTTTCTCTCGTATCTCCACGTATCCCCCAGCTAGGCATCTAATAGCCTCTGTGGGGGCTGTCTTATGTTTGCCAGTCTGTGAGGAGAGTGAAAGTGATGTGTCCTCTTGACTGCCTGACTCTCCCCTGGGCCCATTAGGGCCTAAACCACTTCTACACTGCAGAGATCTATAGAGCTACAGAGCAAGTATGATATGAGAGTGACTGGGCGATTGCTTTCCTCTATCTGTCATGGCAGGTGCAGTGCGTGTACTGACTTCCATAATTAACCCAGTATTTGTTACTCAGGAGTTTGGGAATGTCATTGCCATCAGCGATGTAAAGAGGGTCCAAAAGTAACACACGCCAAGTGCTAATTGGGAGTGAAAATTAGCTTTAGGGACTGAACTTGGAACAGCAACATAATGCATGATTGAAATCAGATTGTTGGAATGATAATCTGGCCTTTACTCGTTTACCATAAAATTTAACAAATGCCTAAAAAATTTTTTTTTCTTTTTTATAACTATGTATTGACACATTTATGCGATATTCCTCACGTTAAGCCACAAAGATTTGAGGTAGAACACCAAAATATGAGAACAAAATCATGATGCCATTGACCAGCGTCAAAAATGTTGGCATAGGAACAAACATATATACACTATCATTCAAAAGTTTAGGGTTGGTCAAATTTTTAAATGTTTTCGAAAGAAGATTTAAAAAAAAAATTCTCACCAAGATGCCTTTAAAAAAAAAATGATAAAGAAGTAATATTGTGAAAAATTATTACAATTTAAAATAAATGTTTTCTATTTTAATATATTTTTAAATATTTATTAAATGTTTATAAAGTAATTTATTCCTATGATGGCAAAGTTTAATTTTCAGCTGAATTACTCCAGTCTTCAGTGTCACAAGATCCTTCAGAAAAAAAAACAAACAAAAAAAAACAATTCTTATCAATGTTGAAAACAGTTGTGTTGTTTAATTTTTTTGTGGAAACCATGATAATTTTTTTTTAGGATTCTTTGATGAATAGAAAGTTAAAATGGTGGTGTACATATTTAGAAAGTTTATTTTTACAATAAAACTACATATGTTAAAATTAATTTGATTTGCACCATCCTCCCATGGTCAATACTCCATACAGCTGACATTTATTATTGTTTTCTCTTTAGGTTCTGGTTGGCTGTGCAGGATCTGAAGTGCCGCCCCCTGCAGGAAGTGGCGGCTCGCGCTCAGGAGATCTGGCAAGAGTTTCTTGCTGAGGGAGCTCCCAGTGCCATCAATCTGGACTCACACAGCTACGAGCGCACCAGTCAGAATCTAAAAGACCCGGGCCGCTACAGCTTTGAAGATGCCCAGGTGAGTAACTGTCACAGGAAGCACAGCTCAAGCACTGATGGCTTTTGTTCCTTTTAACAATTTCCACGGCCTTTCTGCACATTTGGGGAAAATGATCGTACTGTATGAACTAAATAGGAAAATTGTTTATTATTATTTTTTAATGTCCAATAACCATTGTGTAAACACATTTTCACAGATGATTGAGGGCTTTTAGGTTTTTTGATGGACGGAGGAAGTATGAAAGCTGCACTTAGGGACAAGTTGTGCCCAAGGCAGAATCTTTTTCATTCTTTGAAATGATGAAATAGGAACTTGAGGGCTTTGGGCCATTCGAGGAGATTGATGTACAATAATGCTGATGGATAATCTGTTCCTTGTCCTTGTCCTCACAGCTCTGTTTTGTCTTTGTTTATCTACATTTACATGATTGATGAAAGAGACAGAATAACAGGCATCGCAATGCTCAGAACCAGGGTGAAAAGTCTCTCTGGAATTATAAAAAAAATTCAACCATTTTATTCTAGAAACTTGTCACTACAAGCTAACTGCTTTCAGAAAATTCAAAGTAGAATAACTGAAGAATGTGTTACAGAATCTGTGACATTACTGCTTAGAGTCTGTCAAGATACTTGCTAGGAGTCTGTCAAGTGAATTAAGCTTTATTTGAAAAAAAAACAAAAAAAAAACACATGCCCCTTCATCTCCTTAGGTAAAACATTATTTTGGCAGCAGCGAAATCTCATTAATCCTGCTGCAAGATATGTTTTATCAGACATAGATTGCCTTTTCCAATGGGAGAACCTACAGATTTATTCCTGTTTGCATTTGTGAAGTCATGATTGAAAAGATAAGAGAAGCAGGATCATGAGGACAGAAAGCCGTTTTTCAGAAGATTCTTGGCTCTTTCTCATTGCTTTGCAATGAGGCGCTTTCCTTTCATCCAAGCTGCAAACTCACTGTCAGCCTCCAATGTTTTTTCTCTTTCAGGACCACATCTACAAGCTGATGAAGAGTGACAGCTACCCTCGTTTCCTGCGCTCCAATGCTTACCAGGACCTCCTGCTGGCCAGAAAGAAGGTTAGTCTCAATCTCAAATCTCTCTCTGCCGCGTGTAATGAATCGGAATAATTTTTCTGCAATTTTGTTTTCAGTATCACTCAGTATTCTTTTGCACAAACCATTCAGCCATAAGAACAAAAATCAGTGCGCCCCTAGAGTACTGCAAGGGAAAAAACTGTGGAAAAACAAAAGATACTGGTAATTTTCTGCCAGGACATTTTCCATTAAAGGAATAGTTCACCCTTAAAATGAAAGTTGAAAATGAACATTTACTCACCCTCAGGTCATCCGAGATGTAGATGAGTTTGTTTCTTCATCGGAATAGATTTGGAGGTATTAATCAATACATCACTTGCTCACCAATGGATACTCTGCAGTGAATGGGTGCCATCAGAATGAAAGCCCAAACAGCAGATAAAAACATCATAATCCACAAGTAATCAACACGACTCCAGTCCATCAATTCATGTCTTGTAAAGTGAAAAGCTGTGTGTTTGTAAGAAACGAATCAATCATTAAGACATGTTTTTGTCTTCAAACTGTTGCTTCAAGCTAAATTACAAGACTTCAATCCATTATATTGCTTTCTCCAGTGAAGAAGTTGTCTCGTCAGAATCAGGAAAGAAATAGGCACATATCAAGCACTCTGTTTACAAGCAAAAACAGTCGAAAACACCCCTGAACAAATATGTAGATGAATTTTGATGTGAGAGGACGGGATGGAGTTTTTCACAGGAGGAAGCATTTTTGTTATTGATGGCACCCATTCACTGCAGAGGGTCCACTGGTGGGCAAGTGATGTAATGCAAAATTTCCCCAAATCTATTCTAACAAACAAACTTACCTGAGGGTGATTACATTTTCAGCACATTTTTCCAAGTCAGTTCTTTCTTAAGAGACAATATTTCAAGCCTTAGTTTCTTTTTGGCTAAAAACAACAGTCCTGAATTGAATCATTTCCTTTTCTTCACTTGCAAACGAGTGTTCAGTGTTCAGTTTGCACTTATTAAAACACACTAAGCCAACTTAATATGTACTTATCATCAAATGGCCTACTTACTCTACTGACAACATGTAATGGCTAAACATGGGCACTTCAGTTCACTTCAGAGCCATTTTACAGTCCAATTGTGTCTCAGCCCCACTGTGATTATTTAAGATTAACATTAATCTTCCTACTTTTCTTTACTAACACATGTTAACCTGGTGTTGTGCACTGTATCTTCCCCATTCCCTTCCATTAACCTGGGCTCCACAGCCTGAGACTGAGCAAGGCCGCCGCACATCCCTGGAGAAATTCACTCGCAGTGTGGTGAGTGGCACAACGACCATCGCCAGTTCTTTTTTAACTTTAATTCAAAATCGAGCTTTCTGGAAGGTAATCAGACCAGAAGAAAATGGGATATTTTCTGAGAACCATAAAGGGTTCTCAAAGGGTTCCATATA